AGCGAGAGAGAGAGGGGGGGGATGAGGGAGAGAGAAAGTGAGATACAGAACGAGAGAGATAGAAAAATAGAAAGAGCTGAGGACAGAGAGAGAGAGTGAGAAAGAGAGACAGAGAGAGAGACAGAGAGACAGAGAGACAGAGGGGGAGGAGAGATCAGAGAGAGAGAGAGAGAGAGTGGATGAGGGGAGGTAGAGAAAGAAAGTGAGAGGGAGAAAGTGTGTGTGTGAGAGAGAGAGAGATAGAAAGAGAGAGGGAGAGAGAGAGAGAAAGAAAGAGAGAAAGAGAGGGGTGGTAAGAGAAAGAACCAGTGAGAGATAGAGAGATAGAGAGAGATAGAGACAGAGAGAGGGATACAGTTTGAGAGAGAGTGAGAGAGAGGGGGGGGGGAGAAAGACACACAGAGAAAGAGAGAGCGAGAGAGAGAGAACGAGAAAGACACACACGCGCACAGAGAGAGCGAGAGTGAGAGAGAGAGAAAGAGAGACAGAGAGAGAGAGAGGACGAGTGGGAGAGAAAGCGATAGAACGCACGAGAGAAATAGAAATAGATATAGAGACAGAGAGAGAGGGATAGAGCAAGAGAGAGAAAGAGACAGACACACACACACACACACACACACACAGACACAGACAGAGAGAGAGAGAGAGAGAGAGAGAGAGAGAGAGAGAAATTGCTGTGGTGTTGTGATATTATGAATCATGTATTTGTGTCAACAGACTGATTTCTTCATATAAGGAAGGGCCATCAAGATAACCGGCTATTTCCTGCTCCTTCAACAGAGACATAACTGTCACCCCACTATGACCCCGCTGTGACCCCAAAATTGTCCTCTATATGAAGTACGGGTAGTCCAAAATGAGAGGAAAAGATGGTGGGGGAGGGGAGGAGAGGGGAGATACTTTTGTTTTACCGAAACAAGGACCCTACAAATAATAGATAGATAGATAGCATTTGTATTTGTATAGCGCAAATCCCCTCTCAAATAGGAAGCTTTATGCACTTCCCAATCTATACTAAAACCCCAGCAGACCAGACCGGAGAGCATTCTGACACAACCTCAACTTCCTGGGAAGCATACAGTGCAAGCAGCCATTTACAGGCGCTAAAACACTAACATACTGACAAGATCTTTCGCTGTAATTGTTTTGAATTTGTAAGCTCGCAAGAACAGTGCTGCTGTTGCACCAATAAACATGTTCCCCCTAATCTATTGTGTTCCTGACAAAAGTGCACCCCCCTCCCCCTTTGAATGAAAGTTAAAGGTGCCAGAGTTTTAATTATTTTACAGGTTAATATCTCTGAGAGCTGTCCATAAATAGACTTTGTTATAGTAATTAAATTCCACACAAAGATTACAAAAAAGTGCGCATCACCAAATCTCAGTGTCTTTGTTCGTTCAGGGAGGTCAAGACTGACCACTGGACTGACGTCACGACACAGAAGGTCATCTTCTTCATCACAACAGATCACCAGAGAGTATCCGATGTTTCTGCGTCATTCCTCTTGGATTCAGCGTGGGTGACTTGGAAGTCACTGACCACCGTGACGTGTCTGTTACATGTACCAGGTGTAATAAACTTTGTCCAACTGCCGAGGAGCTATCATTTTCACTTTAGCTCTATGACTTAGACCTTTGACCTGTGGGTGGTTGGCATGTGCTCCTTCTTTCCTATCAAACACCTATCGTCTTTATCTCTCTCCCTTCTTTTTGTGTTTGCACCTCTTGTAACACCTCTAATCTTCGGCACTTATATGACCTTATTGTGTTGCAAATGCCGTAAAACACTAACTAAAACTAAAGACCTTTGACCGCTACGGTAGAGTCAACATAAACAACTACAATGTACTACCAGAATGGATATCTGATAGAATAATTATAGATCTAGATGTGCTGCTGGTTGAGCTTACTCCAAATTTTATTGGCCCAAGGCTTGGAAACCGAATGATATCAAACAAAAAAGATAATACTGTAATCCTAACTCTAAACGTCACGCTAAGCTTAACCCGTACCTAACCCAAACTCTAAATTCAAACCTGACACAAACTCTAATCCTAACCTTATCCATGTAACGTAAAATTAAAACATTGTTGGGGCGGGGGGTTTGGGTATATATCACGCTTCAGTTCGGCAGGCTATGGTTTACAGAGTAGAAAATTCTATCATCGATACATCTCAAATTTCCGTATCCTTGACTCCTCCTCGTTTGCCGGCATGGCAACATCGTGACAGCTCCTCCGTGGTGGTTCTAACTACGTCGTTTCTTCATCGGGACCATCATTGCCGTCCACGGGTTTAGAATACTTTCTTGAGTACGGTTGCAAAAGCTGTATGTTATGTTACATGTATACATGACTACTACCTGTGTCTGTAGCGCAGCGGTTAGGTGCTTCACCGTCGCACGCAAGAAACTCGAGCTCGATTCCCAAGTGGGTAGAATACTTAATTAATCGAATACCTCGGTCTTTCTGCTGAGATTTTATATCCTTCTCTTCCCGAGTTGGCCCTGATACACAGAGTTGAAGCCCGCCTCCCAAATGTTCTAAATTTTGTTGAGGGGTGGAACAACACAACACTTACATTACAGAATAAACATGTACAATGTGTTCGTGACTGTAAAACGGGTGAAACAAATCGTTTTTCCCCTCGCTCCTCTTTCCATTTAGTTGCTGTTACTATTATCGTGACGTCACGTTGACACAAGACTTCGGCGTGATTATTATTATTCCACTTATTATGTGACGTGCCGTGACACGACATGAGGTGACGTGACGTAACGTGAGGTGACGTGAACATGACGTGAACACGACGTGAACACGACGTGACGTGGCACACCGGTCACTTGGTGCGCGTGACAGCCCGCTGACAGGTGAGGGATTTGAGCCACAAGGACAGCCTCCGACCACAGGCGAGAGAGGTGATGATGTGCTGGACCAGGAGGTCAATGACCTCATAGATTGTGAGGACGCTCGCACCGACGAAAAGACCCATGGAGCCGCCGATGTCACCTGTGGGGGAGTGGTGGGGCAGTGGTGTGTTACATCAGGTTTTCTTGTCTGCTCCTGGGT